CACATGTCAATGAGCGGTTAAGACGGACAGTGAAGGACAGCCATGGATGCTGGGTAGCTGGATGTGAGTGGACATGTGTTACAGACAGGACGTTCAAAAGCAGACATCTGCAGAAGCGTGGTGTGAGAGAAGCCGGTGAGTTTTAGGGTCAAAAGAAATAATAATGATGATAAAGTGGGTGGGGAGGAGATGGGAGGTTAGTATTAGTTTGGTTACTAAATGACCGAACCAGATTCCACTGGAACAATAAAGGTATGCAATAACGGAAATATTAGTTTACAGAGTGTACCAAACTAAATAGAAAAGAACTAGAGTTGTTCATGATTAGGTTAATAATTTAATAGACTATTCTAATCCATTGTTTATTAATCAATTTTGTGATTTGGCTTGTCTGTAAAAATGAAGAGGACATAATCACAATGAGAAAGAGTAGCATCTGTATTTTCTATAGGCCCCACATTATTAGTGAATGGTATGAATGGTAAATTAAACAAATTAAACTTATATTAAACAGCCTAACTGATAAAGTAAAAAGTAGATAGATTTCTTACATTTATGTTTTTAAATTATTAAGAGTCTTCCACATGGCATTTGCTGTATTCATTTTAAATCACAATCAAAAATTCCCGAAAATTGACATCCCAACATAGAAAAGAATAAACGAAACTCTGAATCTGAATAGTACTCCATAGAATAGAACCAAACAGAATAGAATTCAACAGACCCAAATTAAATAAAGCAAAACAGAAATGAGTAGAATATAATAGAACAGAGCCAAATCAAATAAAACAGAATAGAAAAAAGAAACAAAGGAAGCTTGTTTCCACCACAGGATATAAAAAAAATCTAAAACGTAATTGTGACTTTTTTTCTTGCAAATCTGAGGGGGAGAGATTTCTGAGAAGAAAAGTCTGAATTGTGGGATAAAATGTCAATACCTTTTCTTTTTATTATTATTATTTTATTCCATGGGGGAAAAAGACAAAAACAGAATTGCGAGATGCAAACTCAAAATTCAGAAGAGAAAAAGTCAGAATCGCGGGTTTATATTAATAAAAGAGTTTATATGAATTCTGAGTTTATATCTTGCATTTTTTATATTACATATTTTAAACACTTCCATAAGAAACAGATTAGAATAGAGCAGAATAGAAGAAATAGAATGCGCCATGAACCCAGACCACAACAGAATTGTAGAAAATAATCGAAAAGGAAAGATTAAAACTGAATAGAATAAAATTAACAAACGGCAGTCGGCAAGATTGGCAGGAGTAGGTGAAAAAGGACATACACATCAGTTAGTGTTATGATATTAGTGATATCACAATTAAAATCCACATATTTACATTCATTGTTGAATTCTGGGATGCTGCAAGCATGCAATCACAAATTAAAAGTCACAATAATAGTGATCAGTGTACTGTAATGCTTTAATAATGCTTTTTGATGGTTAAATCAAATCTCGCAGTGAGTTTACTCAATGCCACAGCGTAAGTTAAAAGTTGGTTAACTGTAAGCAATCACAGCTGATTAAATCTCAGCAGCAACACATGCAAGATGTTTGACTGAGTCTCAGAGACTCTGGACTGGAATTTATGACTTGGTGCAGAGCGACTTCATCTCGTGTGCTTCTGAGACACAGGAAGTGACATGGTGGGCTGAGTCAATGATAAGGACACAGCACTTCCTCTCCACTCACCAGATCTGTAACCTGATCTTCTTTCCTCTCAGCTCCACCGTTTTGATTTTAAAATCCACACCTTCAACACAAACAAACAAGCAAGAAGAAAAAAGATCAGTCATACTGCGTCTTCAAGCTTTACAGTGGCTCTACAATTCATCGTAATCAAACACATAATTGAAATCACTAATATTTAATGTAACACATATAGGCAATAAACAGCCAAAGTCAAAGCACAGATCATGTTGTATGACTTCCACAAGCGTGACATAGCAGTACCTCGAGGTCGGGATGTCACAGCAGCTGTGTGAACGTGTGTCTGGCTATTCTGGGATATTGGGTTAGTAAGCATGCAACTAATCTGATGTGAAGGCCTGCCACGAGTGAGTGAAAACCTTGCTGTATCAGTTTTCACATTTATGTATTGGCTAAAAATCACTGATTTTGTACCACAGGGTTTTATTATTTTAATGCGTGTTTCTTCACGACTGATGCAGATTGATTCAGCACTTGGCAGATCTCCCATGTAACGACATAATAAAAAAGCTGGGCATGAGAACGAGGGATGAAAACGGTTTAGACACATTCATGTTAACATCAAACTCTTACATCATTTGAATTGTTTGCATCCATCTGTGTTACAACAGTGTGATTATTATTAGGACAATTTTCTCTGATTTACGTGGTCACTGGCACAGATGTGATTTTCAGATCGTGGCTTCCTAACATCTGGCTGAAATGTTTCTGTTGACACTGTCAGGACTAAAACTGACTGACCAGAGCTACTCCTCTGACCTCTGAAGTGTTGCTAAGCTTTCATGTTACAGTAGTCATTATATTGCTGCAACGGTTTATGTTAGAAGGTAAGCACATTTTTGACATTTTGACATTTTTTATTATCCAAATTAAAATATCCATAACAAAATCACTATGCACAGTTCACAAATTATGTACACAAAAACGAAAATACAAATATATTCATATTATTTATAGTTTTATAATTATCTATCTATCTATCTATTCACACAATAATATTGTGTAATATTATTACAATTTAAAATGTATTTTGCCATTTCAAGAAGTAATTTATGTATGTGTGTATATATATATATATATATATATATATATAAAACCATCTATGTTTTACTAAGTTTTCTATTTTTACTAAATAACTATTGTCCATTGCTTTTTTAATTGACAATAACTATTCATCAAAGTGCCAATTACTAACATCTATAGTAATTATTCCAAACTGGAAATAATTATTCATCTATACTAAACTAATATGTACAGTTATTTAATCTTTAATAGCCATCTATGGTTTCCAAAATATCCACTGTTAACTATCTGTGCAATAAAATAAAATAAAAAAACACTAATATCCATCTAATAGCCAACTGCGAACCATTAATATTTACAAATTAATCTCAGTTAACTATCTATGCTTTCCAAACTGGCTATAATTATCCATCTCTACTAAACAGTATGTACAATTAGTTATCTAATCTTTAATAACCATCTATGGTTTACTAAGTAAACACTGATAATCATTGATACAGTTTACAAATTATTTAGTTACATCTATTCCATATTAACTAGGGGTCGTTTAATTACATAACTATAATATTAAGTTGATTAATTATCCATCTGTAGTTGACTTATCTATGCTGAACTAACTGGCTATAGCTTTCTCAGTCATTATCTATCTATAGTTAACTATTCATACCTTGAGCAGATAAACACGATGTGGTATGTATGCATTGTTATGATAACTAAGCAGAAAGATAACAAATAAACTGACAGTCCTTGTTGTTGATCCTCCAGACTGACAGCTTCAAAAACTCTCTCTCTCTGTCAGTTTGTCTTACCCACAGTGGACTTGCAGGCCTCGCAGAAGGTGTCATCCGTGAATCTCTCCATCAGGCTGGTCTTTCCCACTCCACGGGAGCCGATGATGATCACCTGCAGTTTAAAATCAGCGGCTCTCGGCGGCATCTTCCTGCGGCGCTGCGACGCTCCCACAGCGGGCGAGCCACCGCCGGCCCTCCGCTGGACACCGAACCCCGACTCCATCCACCACTAACGGCCGGCCAACATCTGCCACACGGCCAGTCCGCTTTAAACACGCCCTCGCATCACGGAGGGAAACTTTACTAAACTTTAAAGCGGTTTTTTGGGAGAGTTTGTCAAAGTTTTCAATCTCCTCAGTCAGTCAGTCAGTTGTTGTCCTGCGCTGGGAATACGAGAGCGACCGTGACGTCTTCACCACTTCCGGTTCCGACGCGTTCCAAAGGAAGAGCGGAGCAAAATTCCTTTTAGAATAAACACACTTGGAATATTTATCCATTACAAATATTATATGTCAGATGTGGAAAATAAAAGGAAATTTGTCGCCTTTTCAATCGTTTTTTTTGTTTTACTAAAAAGCAATAAATAATAATAATAAACAAAATATTAATTCTACCTAATATTTAACACTTTTTTGTCTAAACTAAATATTTTACACGATAGTGTAAAATTTTTTTTCCATTTGAACCTTTCTCCATTTTTGATAGTAAATTTTTTTTTATTTATTAATACAATTTAAATACTGCACAGGTATGATTGGTATAGGCCATCCATCCATCCATCTATCTATCTATCTATCTATCTATCTATCTATCTATCTATCTATCTATCTATTTGTCCGTCCGTCCGTCCATCCATCCATCCATCCATCTATCTATCTGTCTGTCTGTCTGTCTATATAAATACACACACACACACTCTATCTCTCTCTATATATTCTATCCGTTAAATAAATAAATAAATAAATAAATAAATAAAAAGTTCTCATTATACATAAATATAGGCCTATGAATAATAAACATAACAAAAATATTTATAAACAAATGTAAAATATGATCTATATTACCATAAAAATCGCAAATACATTAAATCCGTCAATAAATAAATAAAACAAATTTAAATAAAACAAAGTTCTGCTTATATATATACATAAATGATGAAAATAAATAACATATCTATAAACACATTAAAAATATGCTATCCATATTCTATATGACCACAAAAATATATTCTATCCGTAAATAAATAAATACATATGGTCTACTTCACACACACATATAATATAATATAATATAATATAATATAATATAATATGGTAAATATCTAGAAACACATTGAAAATAATTACAATTCCATTAAAATTACAACAGTAAATAAATAAATAATTAATAATAATAATAATAATAAATATATTTTACTTCTATATTTATTCAACAAATAAATATATGAGTAGGCCTATAATAAAAAAGTGTGAATCGCAGATGTTGAATGGTGCATTGCTGCTGCCACTCGGGCTCCCGTAGAAAAACACCGTGACGCGGTTGAGCTCTTGGAGAAAATCAGGATAATCTACGTAACGGTCCATCCTCATCCTCATCCTCATCCTCATCCTCATCCTCATCCTCCCGAGCAGCGGGTCGGTGTGTCGCCATGGCCGCGCAGAAGATCAACGAGGCGCACGATCACATCGCGAAAGCCGAGAAATGGTGAGATATGAAATATTCTCATATGAATGAGCGGACAGAACAGATCTCCGATCGGCCTGCTGTCAGTCAGACTGCCACTAATACTGCTAGATTAGCGGATGCAGCTGGCTTTTAACTCATTTATCGGTGCAATCATGTCCAGATGATTAATGCTGAAGGATTCTGATGCGCGTTCATTATAATATTCCACAGCGAGACTGACTGCGTAATCGCGCGTGCAGTGATAAAGGTTACCTTGGCGACAGCTGCAGTGGTCCTGATGTGGTCATTATTATGAGGGTTCTACTGATGATGTGGGCCAATCCTGAAATGCAGTGCATGTTTATGTGCCCATCATGTAGGAGAGTACCGGGGCAAGTTGTCACAGGCCACACATGTCAGTAAACAGAAGATTTTGAGTCTAAAGTTCAATTACACACGTATGTGTTTTTTTGACACACTTTGCAGACACCTAGTTCAAAAACTAAACTTAAATTATGTGCATTATTATGATATTTTTTTGTAAAATGTGTTCCCTTGTGGAAAAGAAGTACACTTAAGCATACTTTAAAAAGAGTACGGGAAATACTTTTAAAGAATCTAAGTGTGAACTGAATGTAATGTTTCAAACACCTAATTGTATGGTATTTACAATTAAATGAAAATGCATTGTAGTTTAGTTGAGCCTAAGAGTGTTTTCTGGCTAAAGTACATCTGTATATGTAATTTCATAACTGCATTGTCTTTAAAACATTATTAAAGTGTACTGCTGAATATACCGACAAGCATTCATGGTAAACTAAAGTATACTTTAATGTAAGTTCAATTGAAATTTGTATGTCATGTATTTAACTAAATATTTTAATTACTTATTTCTTATGATGAAATTGCATTTAAGTGCATTTAAAATATATTTACTTGAAATGGAATATCGAATAACACTACAATTAAAATAGTATTCAAGTACTTTTTATGTGCTATATATATTGGTCTTCACATCAAAATAAGTTTACATCTTCAAAAGTTATACTTTTGAAATAAACTGCAAGTGCACATTTAGTACATTTAAGCGCACTTCTTTTGCAGTGAACACCTTAAAATAGTTGAATTTGACCTCATGCAGCCTGAAGACCAGCATGACCAAGTGGAAACCTGATTATGACGGAGCCGCTTCAGAGATGGCAAAAGCAGGTGATGAATACAGATGTAAAGTGACGTCTTGCATTGATGTTATTGATGAAGGTGATTATATATAGGCCTGTCACGATAACAACTTTTTGTTGTGTGATATATTGACCCAGAAATAAATGCGATAAGCGATATTATTGTCATTTTAAAGACCATTTTATGCCACTGAATATATAATCATAATGTAACCGCATAATAATGCAAGAAGGTCTACACACTTCCAAATGACAACAAACTTTTAATTTTTAAGAATATTTAGATCATGGCAATTAAGTACAAAAATATTAGATACCTTAAAAAACTTCTAACAAAACGTGCAAAGTAGCAAGTAGAAAAAAGAAAAATGCACAAAGAACTTGTATGGAGATTTTTCCATCTGCAGATTTTTCCCTGACCTTCTTTTCTCTGTAAGTAAAAGGTGCACACTATTGCTGAAAAACACAATCACTACTTAAAGCAGTCAGATGTCTGTCTGCACAAAGGCACAGATCCCTAAACAAGATCATATCTGCAGATTAAACTCTTTTTGTAGAAGCATTTTTAAAATTTGAACTAGCACCTCATGACCACACCACGTTATGCACGAGAAGCTGCAAAAGACACTGGCGCAAGTGGAATGTAAAAAAAACACGGTGACATTAATTTTTAAGTAAATATATTGGGCGATATATTGCGTCACCATGGAGATTTTTCCATCTGCAGATTTTTCCCTGACCTTCTTTTCTCTGTAAGTAAAAGGTGCACACTATTGCTGAAAAACACAATCACTACTCAAAGCAGTCAGATGTCTGTCTGCACAAAGGCACAGATCCCTAAACAAGATCATATCTGCAGATGAAACTTTTTTTGTAGAAGCATTTTAAAAATTTGAACTAGCACCTCATGACCACACCACGTTATGCACGAGAAGCTGCAAAAGACACTGGCGCAAGTGGAATGTAAAAAAAACACGGTGACATTAATTTTTAAGTAAATATAATGGGCGATATATTGCGTCACCAAAAATAATTGAGCTCATGTACATATATTGCGCGATAAGTCGATATATTGATTATTGCGACAGGCCTAATTATATATAGTGAAATATTATGACTATAACATAATGTCTGTTGGTGTTATATCAGCTGTGGCTTTCAAAAACGCCAAACAGTTTGAACAAGCGAAGGATGCGTACCTGATGGAGGCTGAGTACCACACAGAAAACAAAGCGTATCCTTCTCCTGCACATCAGACTCTGGTTACTAGTTTAGGACAGAAGAAGAAATCCTAATTATCATAGTTAATTTAACAAACAAGACTAATTATTGTGCAGTACAGATATATCACAGGGGGTGTCAAAAGTTTGGGGACTTTGGTAAGATTTTTTTTTTTTTTTTAGAAATTAATACTTTTCCACAAAGATGCATTAAGTGACAGTAAAGACCTTTATAGGCTTCTATTTGAAATAAACACTGTTCTTTTGATCTTTCTATTCATCAAAGAATCCTGGAAAATAAATGTATGAAGGTTTCCATAGCTGCACAACTGTTTTCAACATTGATAATAATCAGAAATGTTTCTTAAACAGCAAATCAGCATATTAGACTGATTTCTGAAGATCATGTGACACTGAAGACTGGAGGAATGATGCTGAAAATTCAGCTGCGCATCACAGAAATAAATTACATTTTACAATATATTACAATACAAAATCGTTACTTTAAATTGTAATAATATTTCACAATATTACAGTTTTTACTGTATTTTTGATCAATTAAATGCAGCCCTGAAGAGCAGAAGCGACATCTTTTTAAAACATTAAAAAATCCTACCGACCCCAAACCTTTGAACAGTATAGCATTTGATTAACTCTTGGTTTTATTCTCTCATTCGGTACTTATATTTACTTAACTAAAATTCACAGACTCTTCCATGCAGCAAAGTAAGTGAGCATTAATATTTCAAATAACTATTAGGCTATTAACCCTAAATCTATACAAACAATCCATATGCCAAACTAATCTATAGTTTGCCAATTTCTTTTAATATACATCTAAACAATGGCACCCATCATAACTCATGCTGTTCTTCTTCTCAGAGCGTATGAACAAGCTGGCATGATGCTGAAGGTGAGTTGGTCGCGCAGTGATTGTTATGGACGGCCTGTAGGTTTGAGGCATGTCTGAATGTCTCTTGTACGCCGGCAGGACATGAAGAAAATGCCTGAAGCCATTCAGCTGATCGAGAAGGCCAGCATCATGTACGTGGAGAATGGGACGTCTGGCACTGCTGGAATAGCCTTGGACAGGGCTGGGAAGTGAGTAAACAGATCGAAACACTTCCAGAGAGGTTATTTGTGTAGTTTCTCATGTGTACATAACTATAATGTGCATGCAAAGGTTGTGTTACCATTACCAGTGTTAACTTGTGCCATCTGCTTCTTCAGACTCATCGAGCCGATTGATCTGGAGAAAGCCGTGGACTTGTACCAGAAGGCCGCATCTGTGTTTGAGGTGAGGAAATGCAAACCTGATTAATAAATCAGAAATCATCATTATATCATGCTGATGATGTGCTGTGATGTGTTCAGAATGAAGATCGTCTCAGAGAGGCCGCAGAGCTTCTGGGAAAAGCCTCCAGACTTCTGGTGAGACTGCGCAGGTATGTCTTAAAGCATTAAACTGCCCAGATTATGCTCATTTATTATGATTAACATGATTTAAGGTTCAAAACGCTCTGTTTAAAGGTGACATATCATGAAAATGTTCCAGGTTTTAAGTGCTATACTCAGGTCCCCGGTGCATCTACCAACCAAGGAAATGTGAAAAAGATGAACCCAGTAACTTTGTTTTGGGAAGCTTTTTTCTGTAAGCGTCTGAGAAAACGAGCGCGTCAGATTTCGCTCCCTTGGTGACGTGGCAAAGGGATCTCATTATAATATTACCGCCCCTTAATCTGTAAGTTTACACCCAAGGCACCATCATTTGTTTTCGACAGGCCCGAAAAACAGTGTGTTTCTGCTTCCACTGAAAATAGGCATTTTCAAAATTATATAAGAAATGATCTGTGGAGTATTTTGAGCTGAAACTTCACAGACACATTCTGGGGACACCAGAGACTTATATTACATATTGTAAAAAGGGGCATAACATGTCACCTTTAAGTTCCTGTTGCTTTAAAGCTCCGCCTTCTGAAAAGCCAAGTCCACTCTGATTGGTTAGCCGACCCCCGTCTGTTGTTAATTGGTCAACTGCTTAGAGTGTGTCGGAACTGTAATGCCCCTTACCATATTCAGGTTTCAACAGCTGTAAACAGTATTACTGTATATCTACTGTATAGTAACTGCCGACTGTATTGGAAGTCCATATGATGTTTTTTTTTTTTGCCCTCATGCTGAAAAAAAACAGCATCTCCTCGACATCCCTTAACTGTTCTTTTTGGGGCGGGCATTATGCAAATGTGCAACATGGAATCATAGCTAAATCACAGAAATAATGGCAGGATTATAAATAAAATAAGGCATTTCAGGCAAGATTGGAGAGATGAAGTCTCTTTGATTTTGACTTTGTGCTTGTAACAGCTGTATTACTCGCTAAAGGAAATGTAAAATTTAAAAAATGCATAATAAATCATGCAGAATCATCATTATATCATGCATAACCCATGTGTACTGCTTTGTGATGTGTTCAGAATGAAGATCGTCTCAGACAGGCCGCAGGGTTAACCTAACCCTAACCCTATTTATAATAACACCTTTATTGAGTGTTCATTAAATTGCATAGTTGCATATGCTATCATTTAATCACCTTCATTACTTCACTAGCTCTCCTGATGGCTTCACAACAGTGTTAACTAAAACTAAAAATATCAAAAAAATTAATTAATTGAAATAAAATAAACGTTAACAGAAATCAGACGAAATATAAAAAAAAGTTCAAATTGATTTAAAATTAAGACATTTTTTTTATAAAAATGACAAAGTTAACAGAAAAACTAAAAATGAAAATGGAAAATATTAAAATAAAAACAAATTCAAAAATATTAATAAATACTACAGTAATAGAGTACAAAAATAACACTGCTTCACAATATAAATCTTCACAGTACAATTAATTATAGTCTATATGAATTAAGCGCTATATTACAAGTCATCTGAAGTCATGCCATAGCTTTATCTGAGACACAGAACCGAATTATAGTCGTTATTCACTGATAATCATCCTCATTAGCTTTTCTGATGCCTTCAAAAGTGTTGTTACCTAAACTGTTTAAAAATCAATATAACAGAAATCGAATAAAATATAAAAAAAACTTAAACTTATCTTCAGTTAGTTGCCAAGGCAAAAAGTTAAAGTACTAAAGTGACTAAAATTGAAAAAGAAAATTAAAAAAAAAAATAAACAGACAGCATTACTAAAACTTTTACTATAATAAAAATATAAAAATAAAAACTAATTCTTATTTACTTATTTTATTTCAGTTAGTTTCCACATTTCAATTTTTTGTTTGTTTTAAGTTGAAGTACTAAAATGACAAACTAAAAATGAAATAAAAATAAAAACTACATTTTAATAAAAATGTAAAAATCACAAAAAATAATACCAAAACTTTAACTTAAATTAAAGTGAAAAAATTGAATATATATATATATAAAACCTCCAGAAATACTATGTATCAAAATAATGATAGTAAACTAACACTGCTTCACAGCATGAATCTCATTCATGATTCTGTATGTTCAATGCTAGCTGTTCACGGTGCATGAATGAACCAGTGAAACGTGTTCTTTACTTACAGTGTGTGTTGTTTCTGTTGTGTTTCTTGTCCTCAGGTTGGACGAGGCTGCTGTGTCCCTTCAGAAAGAGAAGAACATGTACAAGGAAATTGAGAATTACCCGACCTGCTTTAAGGTGCGAATACTGACATTCAACTGGATTTGACCTCATGTAGTTTTTGGAATAAACTTTTAATGTACAATTTTGCTTTATAATATTGCATTAGTTTCAACAGATGTTTAATATTGCAGAAAACCATCGCTCAAGTGCTGGTTCATCTCCACAGAGGCGACTTTGTGGCCGCAGACAAGTGTGTCAGAGAAAGTTACAGGTACCAATGAGTAACATCATCATCCTTAAAGGGATAGTTCACCCAAAAATGAAAATTCTGTCATCATTTACTCACCCTCATGTCGTTCCAAACCTGTATGAGTTGCTTTCTTATGTTGAACACAAAAAATATATTTTGAAGTTGGTGGTTGCCATTGACTTCCATAGTATTTGTTTTTCCTACTATGGAAGTCAATGGCAACCACCAACTGTTTGATTACCAGCAATCTTCAAAATATCTTATTTTGTGTTCAACATAAGAAAGCAACTCATACAGGTTTGGAACGACATGAGGGTGAGTAAATGATGACAGAATTTTCATTTTTGGGTGAACTATCCCTTTAAGATCAACTGCATTAGCTCTGATCAGTATGAAATATTGTGTTGTTCAGTCTCCCAGGGTTCAGCGGGAGCGAGGACTGCGTTTCCATGGAGACGTTACTGGCGGCGTTTGACGAGCAGGACGAGGATGGGGTGTCACGCGTCTGCAACTCACCTTTACTGAAGTACATGGACAACGACGTGAGTGTCAGACATCATATTTCACTCCAAACAGAACAATACTGTGGAGGAAAAAAACTAAAACCTCATTACACTCAATAAAGGAGTCATTTAGCTCAGTAACTGTGAGTTCAAATAAAATTATAATATTTTCTTCTTAAATTGTATTAAATTCAAATAAAAGTATAAATAAATAATAACAATAATTCATTTAAAATGTATATTTTTTTGAAAGTAGTCTTATGTGTAAAAACAGTTACAATTTAAGACAACTGTTTTGCATTTTAATTATCGTATTAAATGTAATTTATTCCTGGGATGTAAAGCTGAATAGAAAGTTCAAAAGACCAGCGTTTATTTGAAATAGAAATCTTAAACGATATAAATGTCTCTTTCAGTTTTGATCGATTTAATGCATCATTGCTGATGAAAAGTATTAATTTCTTTAAATTCATTTCTAAAATTTCGAGTCTTACTGACCCCAAACGTTTGAACAATAGTGTACATGTTAGTATAATTTTTCTGTAAAATGTTCAAGACCGCTTATCATTAAAATGTTTACAAAAATATTTTAGCTTTCAGTGTTATCTTAGTATCACTAAAATATATCTATACTATATATATTGTTTTTATTTTAGTAATTTTGTTGTGTATTTTTTAGGTTATTTTTAATATGTCTGTGTAGTTTTTATCTTTTTTTTTGTTTGTTTTTTATAGATAATTTTGTACTTCAACTTAAAACAAAAATGCCCTTGCAACTAGCTGAAATAAAATAAGCTTAAGTTGTTTTTAATATATTTTATTTTATATATTGCTTATTTTATTTCAAGTAATTAAAGATTTGTTTTGTTTTAATGGTTTTAGTTTTAATTAACAATAACCTTACTGGAAACATAACATATCTACTAGGCATAGGCATTTACTATATTTCCAAAAATCATCTTGGCTGAAATATCATTCAGTGATAAATAGCTGTTTTCTGGTCTGTGTTTGTGCAGTATGCCAAGCTGGCGATCTCTCTGAAGGTGCCCGGTGGAGGCGGCGGGAAGAAGAAGAAACCTCCTGTTGCTCCTCAAGGGGACAGCGCTGGCCCGCCACCGGCGGAGGAAGATGACGATTACGAGGGAGGTTTATGTTAATGGAGAGAACACCATCTGCGTGTGTGTGTGTGTGAACGAGCATATCAGTGTTTCCTCCCTGTGTGCAGAGAGTCATTCTTGAGGAATTCTGTTCCTGTTTGTCCCGCCTGTAGGAGTGTCCCAATTTCATTGCGTTTACACATCTACACAACTACACACGTGGGCACGATGAAAACCGGGAGGCTTGTGACTGTCCCATTGACTGCCAAGTAACTTACACTGTCAAGGTCCAGAAAAGGATGAAAGACATCGTCAGAATAGTCCATCTGCCATCAGTGGTTCAACCGTAACGTTATGAAGCGACGAGAATACTTTTTGTACGTGAAGAAAACAAAAATAACGACTTTATTCAACAATTTGTTTCCTCTGTGTCTCTCCGCATCACCGTAGCACCATTTTGGAGAATATCCGCTGTCAGCCGCGCTGCACGGATGCGCTGTTTTCATTCAAATCAAAGCGTAAATACACGTAGAAAACGTATCCTTGTGTTGCGTCTGACACAGAAGAGCGTACGCTGCTTGCGTTCAGCTCATATTCTCCAAAATGGTGCTACGGTGATGCGGAGAGACACAGAGGAGACGAATTGTTGAATAAAGTCGTTATTTTTGTTTTCTTTGCATTCTGACGATGTCTTTCATACTTTTCTGGACCTTGACAGTGTAAGTTACTTGGCAGTCAATGGGACAGTCACAAGCCTCCCGGTTTTCATCCAAAATATTTTAAAATGTGTTCCGAAGACGAACGAAGCTTTTACGGGTTTGGAACGACATGGGGGTAAGTGATTAATGACAAAATTTTCATTTTGGGGTGGAGTATCCCTTTAAACTCTTTCTGTTTTCATTTAAAAACATTTTTGCTGAAAGTTAGAATTTGAATAGCTTGCAAGAGCGCGATTATAAATGCAACTTTTAAAAAAAATGACAACTATTACTACCAGTGTTGGGGAAAGTTACTTTTAAAGTTACTCACTCATATTGCGTTACTCCATTAAAAAGTAACTAATTGCGTTAGTTACTTTTTATGGAATGTACAGTAATGCATTACGCTACTTTTGTGCTGCTTTTTGTCACCTGGTCTGGGCTTGCTTATTTATTTTTAATAACAAAAACCCCAAAAGTTATATTTTTGGTAACTGTAAAGACCCTTTCACATCAAAAGTGAAATGAATAAGCCTCTGCACCTCACTCCCAGTTTCTCTCAACACGGGACAGGAGAGCTGTCAGTCAATAAATGGGAAAAACAAAGTTACTCAGATATTTGCTTGTAAATTTAAAAGTAATGCTTTATTTTTACTAGTTACTTGAAAAAAGTAATCTGATTATATGATGTAGAATAAAGTGTGTAAATATCTTGTGTTAAACCACAGACCTTATTTAACAAAAAAACCCATTCAAAACCCCCATTGACTTCAGGGTGATGTAACGATGAAGATGAAGAAGCATACACTCTAAAAATGCTGGGTTAAATACAACCCAGTGCTGGGTAAAATAGGGACAAGCCCAGCAATTGGGTTGTTTTGACCCAGCGGTTGAGTTACTACCCAGAAGGTTGGGTTAAACATTTAAACATTTAACCCAACCGCTGGGTCAAAACAGCCCAATTGCTGGGTTTGTCCCTATTTTACCCAGCACTGGGTTGTATTTAACCCAGCATTTTTTAGAGTGCAGAAATGCTAATTTTCACGTTTTGGCCTACAAAAATCCGTCATCCTTTCAGCACACTATTGACTGCAGTGTTTTCAATCAAGTTATAAACACTCGTTTTCCATTGGTCAAACAATCAGGTAGTCCCGCCCCAAAACTCACACCATTGGTTGAACCTGTAAACTGTAAGCACTGGAAGTTTTTGGTGTGTGTGTGTGTGTGTGTGAGATCATATTGTTGCATAAATTGCGTTTAGAAATGTTTTCTTTTAATTTCATAATGAAAACGTGAAGTTGTGTACAGAAACTGTTAATGATTTTTATTTGTGAACACTGTGTGATGTCAAAGTGCTGTTAAATCGGTTATAAAATTAGTAAAATACTATATTATTATGTACAGTAATTTATTGTAAGTGTTGTTGAAATGTAAATGTCGCTGTGGAGTGAAGCGTCATGCTGCGTTTCCAAATATACAACCCGACAGTCATAAATATGCAAAAATGACTTAATAAAATCATAATCTACACTGTTTGGCTGTCTGCTGCTAAATGTGTTTTCTTCTGAACGATCTAGAGAATTATCTGATGAACTCAGTGAAGAGGATTTATAAATATTCTACAAATAGAAAGCAGCAGCATTCACAACTCATGCTATAGAGAAGACAGGAAAGAGAGTCATTTGAAATAGTTTACTTGAAATAAATGTTAACTTAAATAAACAAACAAACAAACTTAAACTGATTATCTCAACTATTTTCCAAGGTAACAGTTCTCATTTTTCTACTAAAATAGATCAAATATTAAGGCAAAAATGTATTAAAAAAACTATATAGACGTGTAAAAATAATATTAATAATAAATATATTAGTAAAATTATTAACAATAATAAAATAAATACATTTAAAATGAAAAAAAATTTAATGAAATGGAAAATATAAAAATAAAAACATACATAACATTCTTTTATATAAATGTACAGTGTATGAGCTATAAAGTTTTATAGTTATTTATTTTCTTCTGAAAGAAGCCTCTTGTGCGGCCTCTTAAGACTGCATTTATTTGATTAAAAATACAGTAAAAACAGTAATATTGTGAAATATTTTTATAATTTAAAATAACTGTTTTCTATTGTAATATATTGTAAAATGTAATTTATTTCTGTGATCAAAGCTGAATTTTCAGCATCATAACTCCAGTCTTCAGTGTCACATGATCCTTCAGAAATCATTCTAATATGCTGATTTGCTGCTCAAGAAACTTTTCTGAGTATTATCAATGTTGAAAACAGTTGTGCTGTGTAATATTTTTGTGGAAACAGCGATATATTTTAGTTTTCAGGATTCTTTGATGAACAGAAAGTTCAAAAGAACAGCATTTATTTAAAATAGAAATCTTTTGTGACATTATAAATGTACTCACGGTCACTTTTGATCAATTTAATGCATCCTTGCTGAATAAAATTATTATTATTATTTTAAAAAATCATACTGACCCCAAACTATGGGCATGTAAACAATGAGAAATACAGGAACAAAAAAGTGAATAAAAGTGGCACTTTTGTCCTTTAAGCGTGTGCTTTATTTGAAGTCAATAAACTCCCAGTTCCTGTTTCATCCAGATACAGTTTCCTTTTTTCCCCATTTTGATATTGCTGAAAAAGTTCTGCACACATAATGTAATGAAAGCGTTTCATGTCAAACATTATTTTTCATTCATGCTACATTGTCTTTAATGCATAGTTCAGAGATGGACTCGAAACAATATTCAATGTTCTCTTCAAGCATCAGCACAACACGATCCGTCGGCGTGGAGCTCACATTGATAGTCATATCAATCATATACATGATCCCATTGTACATCTACAGCCTAGCGGAGACTCCAGCGGTGCATCCGTGAGACCCTGATCCATAGAAAGCTCCTTCCTGAGTATGAATGCCAAAGGTGTTCGATAAAAATGGATTTCATGTCCTTTACGGCCTGTCGTATTGCTCAAATAAATACAAGTACGTAGTACAAATGTGAGTCAGATTCTTCCCCATGTACAAACAGCTTTCAGACGACCACAACTCGCAGTCCTGGCGATGCATATTAACAGTAATAACTGTACCGTAACGATCTGCCAAACTCTCATGCCTTCAAGGATGTGTTAATAACTAACATTCATTATTCACTTTCACCACAAGTCAGATGTTTAACTACATAATCATTCATGAAACCTGAGCAGAACTAACCTAAAATGTTCATTCTGTTCGTGTTGCATGAGAATGAAGCCCAATGACCAGAAACATTGGCAAAAACCATTTTACGCTATTGTTGCATTGTGGAAATCTAACAATGCTTTAGCAAACAATTGATTTTGCTCATATTTCATGAATTCTGTGTATTTCTGAATGCATTTCTGTGTAAATCATCCATAAAATCATTTGGATTTATGAAGAAACGCGGTCAAAATTCATTTTTAACACATTTCTGTGTAAATAATCCACATAATCGTGGATTTATGAAGAAATGTGTACAGAAACAAATTCATTCAGAACAAATGTCTGTATAAATAATTAATAAATTCATTTGAATTTATGAAGAAACATTCAAAAATCTGTTCTGAACAAATTTCCATTTAAATTATTCATGAAATTATTAGAATTTACAAAGAAATGTAGACAAAAACATTAAAATTAGTTTAACAAATTTCTGTGGAAATAATTCTTAAAATGACGGGTTAATGTAGAAACATTCAAAAATAATTTAGAAGATTTTACGTTTAAATAATTCATCAAATCATTTGGATTTATGAAGAAACATTCAAAAATCTGTTCTGAACAAATTTCCATTTAAATTATTAATGAAATCATTAGAATATACAAAGAAATGTATACATTAAAAATTAGTTTTGAACTCATTTCTGTGTAAATAATAAAACTGACTTGGGTTTATTAAGAAACATTCAAATATCATTCAGAACAATTTGTGTGTAAATAATTCAGAAAATCATTTGGATTTATGAAGAAACATTTCAAATTCATTCTGAACAAATTTCTGTATAAATAATTAATAAATTCATTTGAATTTATGAAGAAACATTCAAAAATCTGTTCTGAACAAATTTCCATTTAAAATATTCATGAAATCATTAGAATATACAAAGAAATGTAGACAGAAACGCATTAAAATTAGTTTTTGAACTAATTTCTGTGGAAATAATTAAAATGACGGGTTTATGAAGAAACATTCAAAAATCATTCAGAACATTTCATGTATAAATAATTAATAAAATCATTTGGATTTATGAAGAAACATTCAAAAATCTGTTCTGAACAAATTTAAATTATTAATGAAATCATTAGAATATACAAAGAAATGTATACATTAAAAATTAGTTTTTGAACTCATTTCTGTGGAAATAATTCAAATGGCTTGGGTTTATTAAGAAACATTCAAAAATCATTCAGAACATTTTGTGTGTAAATAATTCACAAAATCATTTGGCTTTATGAAGAAACATTTCAAATTCATTCTGAACAAATTTGAGTGTAAATTGTTCATAAAATCACTTGTTAAGAAATATACACAGAAATGCATTCAAAATTCGTTCTGAACAAATTTGTGTAAATTACTCATGAAATCATTTGGATTTACAAAGAAATGTGCACAGAAATGCATGAATTCTTTCTATTTAACGAATGGGTTGCTGAAACTGATAAATCCTTAATTGTAATGTGAAAACAATCTCCCATTAGTTATGAAAAGTCATTATACTTCAAGCCTTATAAAACACCAAACGTCCTTTTCATGTTCCAAATCTGTGTTCACAAATGACAGATGTTTGTTGCGTACGTTCCTCTTCACACTGTGTCGTACATGAGAAAAAAGGTTGCTATCCCGTTGTCGTCAATCCGAATGTATTCCTGAGAAAGATAGTGGATAATGATGTGTCTAGTTGATTGTACAATTGAAATAAGGCAAATAGAGACTCACGTAATTCACAGCGCCACCTACAGGCCTTCGGTTCTGCTTCCTGCAAAACCGGTTTCGCCTTCAGAATTCAGAGAGGCGTTACAAATCAAGCCCAGGTCTAAAGTAGGTTGAGTATTTCTCGTCTACATCCATCATGTCGCATGCACTCCCAAAGGTGAAAGTCATATCAAAGTGGCGCATGCCTGGAAGCCCTAAAGTTCACTTATCAAGCCCTTAAAAAACACTAGCAAGTGCACGTCCACTGGATGAAAACTGCACGAGTGCTAACGTTTCATCAGTTCGCATGAAGAACAATCGGTTCAATCCAACCGTGCGCTTTGGGAAAGAGGTGCAATTCCCGCTTTGTGCTTCTCGTGGTTAGTTTGGAGTTCCTCCGAAGGTCAGCGTCCTCATCCTCACTCACTCACTCTTCTCTCTGGTCCACTTGATCATGGTTTCTGGAGAGCGGTAGAGGAAGATGAGTTTGGCGTACATGTCTTCTTCCAGGTCCAGTTCCCCCGTCTCTCGGACCAGGAAGATGTCGGTGCAGAGCTTGAGGATCCGGTCCACGTTAGGCAGCTCTTCGAACATGATGGTGTGCGAGATCCCGCTGAAGAATTCACGCACAAACTTCCCGATAACCAGAACCACCGACATGTACAGACCCATGATCCTGTGCACATGCAGGTTCACATGTTTAACTTGGCACAATGCACGTGATTTAATTACGGTTTAATCCTGTCAGATTGATCAAATCTATCTTCATTTTGGTTCATATATTTAATTTGGGATGTACAACATTATGACCAAAAAAACTTTTTTTTCTCACAATTCAGTTTTCGGTAACACTTTTATTTTGATAGTCCACTTTAGACATTCTATTAACAGTAAGTAACTTTGCAACTACATGTCAACTAGCAGTTAGTAGAGTATTAGTAGACTATCTGCTTAATATCTTCTAACACTTTCTTTGTCAACTTATTCTACTAACCCTAAACCTACCCTAACAGTTTACTCTGAGAGTTAGTAGACATGTAGTTGCAAATTAATGAGAATTACTAGACATGTAGTTGACATGTAGTTACAAAGTTACTTCTAGTTAGTAGAATGTCTAAAGTGGACTATCGAAATAAAGTGTAACCCAGTTTTCTTCTCACGATTCTGATTTTAAAAAGAAGAAAAAACCCTCAGAATTGCAAGGAGAATGTAATTGCAACATGTCATTATGAGATTCAGAATAGATTTAGAATTGCAAAAAAAAAAAGTGACTTTTTTTTCATGCAATTCTGAATTTATATCTCACAATTCCGAGAAAAAAAGTTTGAATTGCAAGATAAAAAGTTGCAATTACCTACTTTATTTTTTAGTCCATTTCAGAAAATATTTTTTTTCTCAGAACTGCAAAAAAAAAGAAAAATTCCAAATTGTGAGATAAAGTTGCAATTACTTTTTTTGTATTATTATTCTGTGGTGGAAACAGGCCTCTATTATTAGTCAATACGGTTTATATTATCAATATTTATATTGTCAATATTATCAGTCGATATTGTTTAATTTTTGAACTAATGCCTAGTCAAGATTATTTAAAACTTTGTCATAGTTTAGTGCTAATTTATATTGCAAAAATATACAGTACAGTACAGTACCGTTCACATGTTAAGGATCGGTAAGATGTTTTTAAATGTTATGCTCACCAAGGCTGCATTTATTTGATAATAAATACAGTAAAAACAGTGATATTGTGAAATATTATTACAATTTAAAATAACTGTTTTCTATGTGAATATATTTAAAAAATGTAATGTATTGCTGTGATCAAATCTGAATTTTCAGCATCATTCCTCCAGTCTTCAGTGTCACATGATCTTCAGAAATCAGTATAATATGCTGATTTGCTGCTCAAGAAACATTTCTGATTATTATCAATGTTGAAAACAGCTGTGCTGATTCATATTTTTGTGGAAACTGTGATTTCTTTTCAGGAAAAGTTCAAAAGAACAGCATTTATTTGAATCGTTTGCAACATCATAAATGTCTTTACTGTCACTTTTGAACAATTTCATGTGTCCCTGGTGAATAAACGCAGTAATTAAGCAATCCCAAACTTTTGAATGGCAGTGTATCATAAAAAGATTTTCTATTTAAATTTTGGCGCATCCCTGTATTGAATTTAACTTTAGCTTTAAAAAATGTATTCTTAAACAGTCAACACTCTATATTTCTCTTTAATGTTAGCACTGTGAGTTTTAGTTGTAACCCGCCATGAGAAGCATATCAGTTGTGTGGTTTCTCTATTGAGAAGCCCCACCCATAGTGAACTCTCATTGGTCAAAAATCCACCTCCTCTTAGCTATATATGAAGCGTCAAATATGTTCTGATTGGACGCACAGTTTTGTCCCTTTAGGAAGGACAGAAAAAAACTTCAGACTATAATGTTTCACGCCACTCACCCATAACCCGCCAGAAAGCCCAGACTGGGTGGACTGACTTGGTCACTGATGATGTAGAGCTCCAGACCAGATTCGTTTGCATTCCTGGCTGAGCCCAAAGATAACGGCCCTGCTTCTGTCTGATTCACGATCCACCACTCCTGGACGCCCGCTGTGCTGTCTTTGCTGGATTTATGTAAAGACAGTGTGATGCTCATGTATTCTTTACCTTAGAGAGCACACAGAAGAGTGAAGAGAAACAGGCATGTTGATGGTGGCTGTAGAAACACACAGGAAATGTAGCAAAGGCATGGAAATGCTTGGTGGAGAGCTGGTGTTTTACCATTTTTGTAGAGCTGCCCAATAGGCTTGGCATTGGAGTCGCTTGGTGCTCTGATGTATCTTGGAAAAATGTTTTCGATGACCCTTAATAAAAAACACCATTACAATTGACCATTCTGCCGAATGTCTTTTTAGTGGTAAAAAAGTCAGAAGCTTATGTTTATGAAGCTTAAACTCACACTTCTTTGTGCTCAGTTCCATTCAGTAGATTTTTTAGCTTAGTTCTCGTGGTTTTGTCCAAGTCTATATAGTGTTTCCCTATTGCAGTTTCAGCTTTGGCACCTAAACTGAGGTTTCTATTGGACAAATACAGCAAATGAAACCAAACAGAAATGAATTCAATTACTTCATTAATGAAAACCTTTGTCTTTGTCGTTAAAATCCTTTTGTCCTGACCAGAGCGGCACATAATTCATATAAATGTCGTTACATGCAGAACATATTCTCATCATACCAGGGTGATGACTGTATGAAACATGTCTGGGTCACATAAAAGAAATTACTTTACTGTGACAAAATTATTCATATTTGTTGGATTAAAAGTAATTTATGAAAAATCGAAAAATGTTGTCTATAAATGTTATTAACTGTATTCATTTGTATTGTATTTCAAAAATAACCACCGAAAAGTGAAAATTTGCTGTTAATTTACTCATCCTCAGGCCATCCAAGATGTAGGTGACGGTAAAGAAGATTTTTAGTTGAAACCGTGGTTCTTGGTGATTAATATAATGCAAGTCAGCGGCTAGCAGCACTTTAAGAGTCAAAAACAGCATATCAGGGAACATAAAATGAATACCCGTAGCTCTTGACGACACACTGAGGTCTAATGAAGTGAAACGATTTACATGATTTACACCATTATTACAGGTAATAATGTTGTAAATAATGTTCAGTTTCTTGCACAAACCAATCGTTTTGCTTCATAAGACCTCAGTATCTCGTCAGGAGCCACAGCTATTAATTTTAATTCTCAAAGACGGGCAGGCGCTGACTTGCACTTTATGACTCACCAAAGACCCCAGTTTCAGCTAAAAATCTTCTTTACTATCATTTGTATTGTATTTCAAAAATAACCACCGAAAAGTGAAAATTTGCTGTTAATTTACTCATCCTCAGGCCATTCAAGATGTAGGTGACGGTAAAGAAGATTTTTAGTTGAAACCGTGGTTCTTGGTGATTAATATAATGCAAGTCAGCGGCTAGCAGCACTTTAAGAGTCAAAAACAGCATATCAGGGAACATAAAATGAATACCCGTAGCTCTTGACGACACACTGAGGTCTAATGAAGTGAAACGATTTACATGATTTACACCATTATTACAGGTAATAATGTTGTAAATAATGTTCAGTTTCTTGCACAAACCAATCGTTTTGCTTCATAAGACCTCAGTATCTCGGCAGGAGCCACAGCTATTCATTTTAATTCTCAAAGACGGGCAGGCGCTGACTTGCACTTTATGACTCACCAAAGACCCCAGTTTCAGCTAAAAATCTTCTTTACTACGCCTGAGGGTGAGTAAATAACAGCACATTTCCAGTGAACTATCCCTTGACCATGATAAATAATATTTTATCTAGTAAAACATAATAAAATGTTTGGATCTCAGGATGAAATCTGATCTGATGACCGCATTTTTTGAATTTTTTTTTTGACCCATCAGCCACTAGCAGACCAGGTTCTTCTAAGCGCTCTGTCTAAGCCTGCGTGCTGCTGTGATGTTGAACTCTACCTCTGTATGGACCAGGTGAAGGTGAGAGGAAACTTCTCGTCTGCGTCACTGAGCATTTGAATGAGGTTCCGCTTGCTCGGGGGGCTGATGGTCCAGAGCGAGTTGGAACTTCCTTCTAGTTCTGCTACTGTCAAATCCTCGTGAATATAAGACTCCAGGAACAGCATGGCACTCTGCAGGAGACACAAGCATCTTTAGCTCTATTTAGAAACAATCTGGAATGCACAATTTATCAGTATCAGGCAATATTAGCTTATTGTCTGCTCAGCATTGGTTTGACAATAAAGCACATCAGATATATACAGTATATATATATATATATACTGTATATATGATATACTATTACAAGTTTCAAAAGTAGTAATACTTCTTAAATAAATCCTAATTATTTTACAGTATGAGAATTGTGTGTGAAAATGTGTTAAATTGGCAGGCAAATAATGCCATAATATCCACATAGTCCTAAAACAATTTTTTACTTTGATTATGCAATGAAATGTGAAAATAGAACAATATCGGTCAATAATAATCAGCAATCTGAAATCATTTCTATATACCGGTGCATTACTAGAAAACATGTTCATGTCAAAATACAAAGGAGCCACTGTGATCTGAACAGACTCTTAGTTCCTTACTGCATCAGCTCTGTATTTTTTTAAAAACTTGGCAAACTCTGTGGAAGAGATGTTTTTCAGATGGTTCTGCTGGGCGCTCATCATGAAGATCGGCTGAAAACAGAATAAAACAAACACAAGAACAGAACAAAAGCGGCATGTTAATTATCAGATGGTAAGAAACCTGAGATTTGAAGGCTTCCAAAAATATCAGATCACCTAGACAGCACTGAGATTAAATGACAAATAGACTTCTCAGATGTTTCTCCTGAGAGAAAGACTGAAATAAAAAATTAAAGCTAAATAGAAAATACTGCAAAAACACTGCAAAAAACAATAACTAAAAAAACTTGGGTTAACAGAATTACTAAAGTTTAAACTAAAAAAAAGAAGAAAAATTAAAATAAATAGAAAAACACTGCAAAAAACACTAACTAATAAAACTGACATCAAATTACTAAAATTGAAACTAAATTAAAATGAAAAATAATAAATTCTAATAATAATAAATAATAATACACTATATATAAAAATACAATTATAAAATAAAATAAAAAATGTCAAAAACATAATAAAATTACTAAAAGTAAAATGAAAACGGAAAAAAAAAAACTAAACTTATTCAAAATATTATTAAGCACTGTAACAGTATATGAATAATACTAAATTAACACCTCAAAATGAACTCAAACATTTCTCATCAACTGATCTGAAATGCTTTCCACATTCATTTTATAGCTTTATAATCTTACTGGATGACTCATTTGTGATTATTTTGATTTCTACAAATGTCTTTCAGGAGAAACAGAATTGATAGCAATAAAATGTTCCTTGCAGAACATAAAAACTGGCCGAAAGCAGAAATGACCATGCAAATGAGCAGCACAGTGTCGTGCACCTGAAGTCCTCCCAGCGTGAGCGTGACGGACACGTCCAGCGGAGTGTTGACCACTCCTGCCACAGATTTGATCAGAGACATGAAGAGCAGCGGGAACCAAATGATGCAGATCAGGAGCATCACGATCATGCCGCCCATTCCATACTTCACAACCATCTTCTTCTTCTGCCCGCGCGGCTGAGGGTAACGCTGCCACACGACCACACACAAATGCTTAGGATGCTGCCTTGAGAAAAAGCTGTCTATGTAGTAGACCGTGTTATTTCTCTCTCTCTTACCTTCTCAGACTCCCTCCAGCATTTGAGGATGAAGATGTGAGCGTAGATGTCCTCCACACAGATCCAGCTAGACAAGCTGAGCGTCGTGTCCGTCCAAATCCAGTCCATCACCGCCCGCAACTCCGTCAGGAACGGGATCAGACGGAACCTGGGACACACAACACACACTAAGCAGGCGGATCCGTTATGTATAGAAACCGACTTGGTTTGCTTTAATTTCCTTTTACTTATAAAAGTAATGGTTGACCAATATATCAGCTGATATCTGGCATTTTTTAATAATCAGCACTGATTATCAACTAAGTGTTTATGTTTGGCTGATGTATCAGAAGTGGAACTTTTACTTTGAGAATAACTGGGATTTTTATTTTTACAGTAAATGGGACTTTTATTTTGACAGCGATAAGAATGTCAGCACCTGCGCTCCGTGTGTAATAAATTATTAAAAAATTACTTCCAATTTATACATTTCATATTTTTAACAGTTTCTTTATTTGTAAACAATTTTTAAAAAATTCTATAATAGGATTACGTTACGTCTATAATAGGATTGAAATTAAGTTTAAATGATTTTTTTTCCAGATAATTTTACAATTATTTATTTCTAATTTAGTATATATATTATATAAAATAAATTTAAAGAAATTGTCATCCATGTGTTTTTACTATCTTTAAATGAAATAGTCTGAAATCATATATATCAGCTTTATATCAGCCATTGACCACCCTGCTCTCTAAGATATCGGACATGTATATACATGCAACATCACTTTATAAACTGCTGTTCAACAGGTTTCTCACCCCTGGAAGAGGAAGAGGTTGACGTAGCTGTAGCTCTTGGTGAGGAAGTTTCCCAGGATGCGAGTCGGATATCCACAGCGGATCTGATACGCTGACAGGCCGAAGTAAATACATTTCACAAAGTACCACAGCTGAGCGATAGTGTTCTGACTGAAGCGCCTGCACAGAGGAGATCAAACACATGTCAGGATTTCTCTGCATCATTTGTTCTCACAGCATGTCTTCATTCTTTTCTTTTTTTTTCAGTTTGACTTTTTCTGGATTCCGTTGCTTAAATACATGTTTAGTAAACAAAGTGAACGTCTAAATTGAAATCATGAAACTTTAAGTTTTAAAACAAAAATTACATTTGTAGGACCCTATGAAATCCATAATTTTTTTTCTCAAATTCTGTTTTTGTTTGCCCCCCCCCCCCGTTGTTTTTTCTTTTCTGCT